TGAGGAGCTCGGGAATTCCCTTGTCAAGCCGCACATTGAGCAACGGGAACGGGTGCCCCGAGACCCAGCTACTGCAGACTTGGTCAGACAGCTGCAGTGGTCATCAAACACGCCATCCACATCCACAGCAACAAGAAGAGTATCAGCATCACCTTCCCCCTCTGCAGCCAGCCCTGCCTCAAGCACTCCATCCACAGCCACAATGCCAGTGAGACCACCTCGCTCAAAAAGAAAGAGGTGTCAGGTCTGCCCTAGCAATATGGACAGAAAAACCTACACAGTGTGCTTCACCTGCAACAAATATATCTGCAAATAACACACCAAAAGTGTAAATATACACAAATATAAATATTGTATTCAAGTTCTATTGAAAAAAGACTTGTTTTTGCCCTTTTCTTGAAGTAAATATATATGGGTCCAAAATGACCCGAAACACCATAGATGTTACTATATTTGATAATATTAAAATTAAAATCTTTTTTTTTGTTGAACATTTATGAAATGTGTTTTAATATATCTCAGTTGCACTCAGGTAACAAAACAACTGATTATTTTGTTGCCTTCTTCTCTTAAGGTTCATTTGACCACTTTTTAGACATTGAAAACGAGGGGTATGCTGCTAAAACAAAGGCCCAGGGGGCCACAAAAAAAAATTAAAACCAATCTTTTCATAGATAAGGGAGCCCAATCAGCTAAACAAGAGTTAAGAAAAACATTGGATGATAAAAGATTGTTTTTAGGGTATTTTATGGCTGATTTAATACTCGGGTCCAAAATGACCCGCTAACACTACAGATGGCAGCAGAAAGCTAACACAAGAGGAAGGTTAAGACCTTTTAACAACACACATACTTTTTGTTAGAGATGTTTGTACTTTTTTTTAAAGGAGGGAATTTGAGAAGTCAGAAATAATTAGTAAAGGTTGCTTACCATTAGGTATAACTGTGGAATAAGATTAATCATTGTCATTGTTCAGCTGAACAAAACTCATTTCCTCTGAAGTAGAGTTCTGCTGTAAAAAATGAAAGTATGTGATCAGATAAAATATAAATGCCTTTAGAAAAAAATGTTAGCTGTAAATGTACAGTCATATGTCTGTATTGCTGTATATATATATATGTATATATTTTACTATTTTTCAAGGCTGCACTTTTAAAAAGATTTAATTGTCCAGAGAGCTGTTCCAAATGAAATTTCTTTTTGTTTTACACTTGGAAACAAAATGACAAATAAATCTGTCTAAGTCTAATAAGATCTGATATAGATCTTTTGGAAAAATTCAAAGGTATCTTCTGAAATAATCTGGGTTTGAAACTCTCCTGAAGTCATGCAAAACATTTCTCCCTATTGCTCTCCAAGGCCCCAGGGGAACCAGACCGCCAGATCCATCAAGGATAAGCCAGAACCTTTCGGAACCAAACTACTGCAAAACAGACCTTTTGCAACACATTTCTCTTGAGTTTCAGAACGTATAGAGCCAGACTGGATGAGAGAAGGACTTCCCTGACAAAGAACCCCTGCTGTGTGCCACTGAGACAAAGAACCCCTGCTGTGTGCCACTGAGACAAAGAACCCCTGCTGTGTGCCACTGAGACAAAGAACCCCTGCTGTGCCCTGACTGCAGAGCTGCAAATGGATGAAACTCAGGCCCCGTCCACACGAAGACGAACCCTGGCCTAAACGCACAAATTTTTCACCAAACCAGCCTCTCATCCACACGAAGCCGGCGTTTCGGGGGTCTGTAAACGATCATTTTTTTATTCACCCTTCAGAGTGGGAAGATTCTGAAACGCCGTCTTCGCGTTTCCATCTTTACACCCTAACCGCATTTTTTTTTTTACACGCATGCGTCATAGCGTCGCCTCTAAACACGCAAGCGCGACGATAGTATCACAACAACAATGGCGCCTTACTGTGTTGAATGGTTGCTGCTCATGCTACTCACCCTGCTGTCGGGCTTACAGCAGAATCTTCTTCTTCTGGGATATCTCCAGGAAGAACAGAGGAATATAGACGACATAGTTCAGCACCTGAATTTGACTGAACCACCAAAATGGACCCGCAGGGCGACCAGGCGAAGGTTTTGGGTGAGGCCTGGCAGAACCAGTAGCTGGTGGGACAACTTTGTTAATGGTGTTGTTCTGGACGATGAATGGAAGGCAAACTTTCGCATGTCACGACAATCTGTTGCCACGCTCACCGATGAAATACGCCCATACATTGAATGCCAAGAAACGAACATGAGAGCACCTATGGAGCCGCTGAAAAAAGTAGCAATGACCCTTTATTATTTAAGTGACGAGGGCAGGCTCCGAAAGACTGCTAACGCCTTTGGTGTATCGCGGCAGGCTGTTTCCGTCACAGTCAGGCAGACCTGCAGGGCCATCTCCATTCACCTTGGTCCCCGGTACATCAGACTACCCTTTTCAGAGGATGCCGCCACGGAACTGGTCGACGGTTTTCAGCGTGCTCATGGAATGCCCCAATGCCTGGGAGCAGTTGATGGCACACATATTGAAATAAAACAGCCATCGGTCAACTCCACGGACTATATAAATAGAAAAGGTAAAACACCCTAAATGTCCAGGCGGTGTGCGATTATAAGTACCGATTTATGGACGTTGTTATAAAGTGGCCTGGAAGTGTGCATGACGCACGCGTGTTTGCTAACTCGGAGGTAAATCAGTTCATGAAAACCGGAAAGATTCCTACTCTCAAACGGCAGATTGTGGATGATGAAGATCCCATACCAATCTTCCTCCTTGGAGATCCGGCATATCCGCTTCTGCCTTATCTGATGAAGGAGTTTTCCAATGGTGGATCATCGCCACAAGAGCAGTACTTTGGGCTCTGTTTATGTAGGGCACGTATGGTTATTGAGTGTGCTTTTGGCCGCCTGAAAGCTAGGTTCGCTGCACTCAGAAGGCCGATGGACATAAATATGACTGACCTGCCTTACATCATATATTCTTGCTTTGTCCTTCATAATTTCTGTGAGGCCGCCAAGGAGACCATGGACGAAGTATCTGTGTTAGGAACAATGCAAGGAGAGATGGACTCTCAGCCTCCCACACAGAGCAACAACTACGTCACTGACTGCAATGAGGGGGAAGGAAAGAGAGTGAGAAGAGTTGTCATGAAGTACCTTGATCCTTAAAAACTAGGATAGTGGAAATGCTATTGCATATGTATTGCATTGTGACATTTACTTGCAGATCTGCATTTGGGAAAAGATTTGCAAGCTTTTGAACAGCTACTATATTTACTTTGTATATAACAATTTGTATGACTACCAGTCCTGCCTCCATATTACCTGTGTGCAGTTATTTTTGGCCTGAGTAACAAAAAAAATAAATAAATAAATAAAAAAAGGTTGATAACCACAACTTGTTGATTCCACTTCCAAGCTCAAGATATTTACTTTGTATATAAGTATTTTCTATGACTACTAGTCCTGCATTCATATTACCTGTGTGCAGATATTTTTAGCTAGAGTAAAACAAAATAAATAAATAAAAAAAGGTTGATAACCACAACTTTTTGATTCCACTTCCAAGCTCAAGATATTTACTTTGTATATAAGTATTTTCTATGACTACTAGTCCTGCATTCATATTACCTGTGTGCAGATATTTCTAGCTAGAGTAAAAAAATAAAAATAAATAAAAAAAGGTTGATAACTACAACTTGTTGATTCCATTTCCAAGCTCAAGATATTTACTTTGTATATAAGTATTTTCTATGACTACTAGTCCTGCATTCATATTACCTGTGTGCAGATATTTCTAGCTAGAGTAAAAAAATAAAAATAAATAAAAAAAGGTTGATAACTACAACTTGTTGATTCCATTTCCAAGCTCAAGATATTTACTTTGTATATAAGTATTTTCTATGACTACTAGTCCTGCATTCATATTACCTGTGTGCAGATATTTTTAGCTAGAGTAAAAAAAAGAAATAAATAAAAAAAGGTTGATAACTACAACTTTTTGATTTCCACTTCCAAGCTCAAGATATTTACTTTGTATATAAGTATTTTCTATGACTACTAGTCCTGTATTCATTTTACCTGTGTGCAGATATTTCTAGCTAGAGTAAAAAAAAGAAATAAATAAAAAAAGGTTGATAACTACAACTTGTTGATTCCACTTCCAAGCTCAAGATATTGACTTTGTATATAAGTATTTTCTATGACTACTAGTCCTGTATTCATTTTACCTGTGTGCAGATATTTCTAGCTAGAGTAAAAAAAAGAAATAAATAAAAAAAGGTTGATAACTACAACTTTTTGATTCCACTTCCAAGCTCAAGATATGTACTTTGTATATAAGTATTTTCTATGACTACTAGTCCTGTATTCATATTACCTGTGTGCAGATATTTTTAGCTAGAGTAAAAAAAATAAATAAATAAAAAAAGGTTGATAACTACAACTTTTTGATTCCACTTCCAAGCTCAAGATATTGACTTTGTATATAAGTATTTTCTATGACTACTAGTCCTGCATTCATATTACCTGTGTGCAGATATTTTTAGCTAGAGTAAAAAAAAAATAAATAAATAAAAAAAGGTTGATAACTACAACTTTTTGATTCCACTTCCAAGCTCAAGATATTGACTTTGTATATAAGTATTTTCTATGACTACTAGTCCTGCATTCATATTACCTGTGTGCAGATATTTTTAGCTAGAGTAAAAAAAAAAAATTAAAAAATGGTTGATAACAACAAATTGTAGATTCCACTTCCAAGTTCAAGACATTTGTGAGCGATCTTAAAGTTCCACTTGACTTGTATATTGACAAATATAGATATATTAAATGTTATGCTTAAATGCAATAAAAGAAACAAATGCACACTCCAGTATGGCTTTTATTAAAGTGAAACAGTTGTTAAAGCTGGGTCACAGAACCCAGGCTGTGCAAAATCAAAAGTACAAAAAAACTTGGTTCTTTTCCGAGAACTGAACAATTCACCCGGGTGATGTTGTGCTATATTATAACTGTATTAAAGTGAAACAGTTGTTAAAGCTGGGTCACATAACCCAGGCTGTGCAAAATCAAAACAACTAAAATAACTTGGTTCTTTTCAACGAACCAAACAATTCACCTGAGTGATGATGTGCTACATTGTAACTGTGCAACAGATGAACTTATTCATCTTGAAAAAGTGATCGGGTGTAAGAAAATGAGGGTGTGTTATGTTGTGACGGTTCCTGTGATTGTGGGGTCGTTGGTGTATATCTTCCTGAGTGGAGTGCTGGACTTGGTGTGTGACAGTGGGCTGTTGAATTGGATGGTGGATTTGGGTACAAGTGTGACTGTTGGTGTCCTTGGAAGTGTCCATAAGCAGTGTTGCTATTGTAGTGACGTGCAGGTGGAGGCTGGAGTAACAGCTCCCTCAGTAACGAAAATCCATCTTGTATGGTGTTGGTGATGTTGGCTATGTTTGTGTTAATTTGTTGTATGTTCTCCTGATTGCGCCTTGATGTCTGCTCCATCAGCTCAAGCATTCTTCTTTTAATCTGAATATCTTCCTCTGCGGTCTCTGTAGGAGTCCTCCTCTTCAGCCTGTCTCCTCTGTGGCTATTCAGCTTGGCCTGAAATGAAATAAGAACATTATATAGTGGGCAACAGTTTGGCATATGTTTGTTGATTTAAAAAGGAACATTACATGGTATTTCAAGTCAGTTACATCTATTAGGCGCACTGTACTATGCAGCTGGTATGTGGGGGTCTGAGCGCCTCCAACAGAAATAGTATGCATAGTTATTAATGATTGCTGTAGTTCACAAAGCAAAGTAAAGTACCAAATAGAGCTCTGTGAAAGAAAAAAAAAGCTGAACGCTTTATCAGAAGCGGTGCATAGTTCTTAATGGTTGCTATAGTTCACAAAGCAAAGTTAAATACCAAATAGACCTCTGTAAAAGAAAAAAAAGATTCTTTTTTTTTTTTTTAGAGAGGTCTATTTAGTCTTTTACTTTGCTTTGTGAACTATAGCAATCAATAATAGCTATGCACTGCTTCTGATAAAGCGTTCAGCTTTTCTTTTTCTTTCACAGAGGTCTATTTGGTATTTTACTTTGCTTTGTGAACTATAGCAACCATTAAGAACTATGCACTGCTTCTGATAAAGCGTTCACAGTTTGTTTTTCCCAGTATAAGTATTATAGTCCATTTTTTAGGGCTGTGGGTGAATTTTACAATAAGGCATCTGGGGTTTTACACTGTAGCTGCTTCTTACTTATGACTTTTTATTGTTATTTGTTTTTACTTATTTTGCTATACGTTTGTCAAAGTTTGGTTATATCTGGGAATAACACTTAACATCTGACTCTCTGGGTTACTTTTGTATTAAATTTCTAGTAGGGCGCACCACACCTAAGGGCGCGCCGCACATTTTGAGGGGAAAAAAAGACGTTTATATGCGCCTTGTAGTCATGAAAATACGGTACTCTAATAAGTACATGTAGGGCGTTGATGTAACCTACCTGCAGCATATGTCTGCGCTGCTTGATTACTGGAGAAGGCAGCACACTTTCGGCTGAGACTGCAGATTGCGGCGAGTCAGCGGGCTGATCCGAAGTCTCGGACATCTGCGTGGAAGTCTCGTCCAGGTCCGCCGTCTCGACTCCAGATTCAATCGAGCGCGTAGCAGGCGATCCACCCCAGATCTCCTCACAGAGTTCGAAAAACAAGAGCACCACACGCCCAAAGCCACTCTTTCGTCCACTGTCCACCGCTGCTCTGTATTTTCCCCTGATATTTTTGATCTTTGCGGTCAGTTGTGCTTTTGTAATTGCTGTGGAGTCATGAGGAAAGTCACGGTCTGTACAGTCACGTGGATATTGCTCCTGGAAAGCCGACATTATATCGCTGTATTTTGAATGACACGTCTCCCAATCGACACTTTCTTGTAGTCTTTTGACTTTATAATCAAGTGTAACTCGAAGCAGCAGTTCCACTTCATCATCTGTCCAAACAAGACTTGTACATGCTCGCCCAGTCATACTTGCCGCCATCTTTTCTATTCGGTTCTTCTTCTAGGGGTTTTCCGGTTTGGTTGTTGTAGTGCGCATGCCCAACATTTCGTCGCCTATTCTTGCTTTGGCATCACAGCGCCACTTACAGGCCTGGCATACATTTTGCAGCGTTTTCATGCATTCGTGTGGACGCTCACATTTCTTTTACGTCTCCGTCTTTACGGCAAACGTTTTGGAAAATATCAGCGTTTCGTATTCGTTTTGACTTCGTGTGGACGGGGCCTCAAGCTTGTCAACTGGACATGGAAAAAGGTTTGCAGGTCTGGCATTATTAGGGACAGAACAAACAATATGTCTTTTAATGACGCTAATCATATCACATGTTTACTGCTGAGTAAAGACAATGCTAATTGATGCTAAAGAATGGGCTGCATGCTACGCTATGCTACAGGAATATGGGTTGAGCTGTTGCTAAAGCTTAGAAAAGCTTTATTTACTAAGGGTTTAAACACTGATATAACATTAGTGTTCATGTGTTCCTCAGATGCTCGTTACATTTCCATTACCAAGTATGACCAAGAGTCATTCAGCGGAATTCTGATGTCTATTCGCTGCTAGCTATTTCAAAGAGGGTAAAGCTTTTTTTTGGTTCTTGATTAAGGAAATAATTAAATAAAACATTTGGCCAAATAATGTTTTATTCACCTCATGGGTTTGCATTGTGAATTGGTCTGGAAACATTCCGATTTCTTTAAAATTAGTGAAAAGCTAATTTGATCATATCCCAAATTCTTCCAGATAAACTTTGGTTTCAAAAACAAAATCCATCTAAAACTGTAATATGTTTTTCAACCATGTTCCCCTTCCTCTTTGTACATAGTAGTTTAGTTCAGTTTTGTTGAGTTTTACTAGTCTTAGTTGAGAGTGTTAAACTGAAATATGTTTGACTTGGAGCTGAATGATTTGTGTTTATAAAAATAATTCAGCTCTAGATTCTCTAGATTCTCCTTGTGTGTACATGGTTGAATGTCTCTGTTCCTGTCCATGTCAAAAATACTAGCAAAAGAAAAGTAAATCTTTTGTTGAAAGTGGCTAGTAAAATTTACTTCAGTTTGTTTGTTAAATCAACTCTTCTTAATAAGTAAAGTAAGTTTTATAGGGTGAAACTAACTAAGGATATCTATGTGAAAATAGTTACCTAGCTTTTTAGAAGTAAATAGTGTTAAATTTCTCTTTTAAAGTTGTAAATCAAAGAACACAGACAGATCAACTTGTATTCTGTACAGGTTAACTGGTCATATATTATATCTGTAATCATACCAACAAATACTCAAACAGCTTTTCTTATTGTTTGAGAAATTATTGAAAGAAGATACTGTTTTACAATGCTGTTCTGTAAACAACATTAACAGACATATTATATTAGATCAAACATAATATACAATAAACCTATACAATGTTCTACTGACCTGTGTGGGACCTGTGGTTAAAGAGTCGCTAGGAGAGCTTGGAGTTGGTGGGCTCTCAGTGACAATAAACACCAAAAGACCATCTGAAAGCTCTATTGTGTGCTCACGTCTTCCCAAAACTTCTTATTGTAATGGAACAAAATGCATCATAATTATCTGGAATCGAGTAAAACCTTTAACAGTACAACAACAACTATAGGCAAGGATAGATCAAAGTGTGTGTCCTGTTATTTCACAGTGTGCATTCTTAGGCTAGTAAAATATTTAAAAATCAAATATCAAAAGAACAAATATGTGCTCAGATCCCATGTGGATCACTAATCAGATTCCCTGCAATGAAACATGTGTTGTGAGCAAAACAGAATTTGGATAATAAATGTGGTATAAATCTACATGTTATCTCTGTTTATAGGATATTTAAAATAAAAGCACCAATTGCACATTTCAATTCAATTCAATTCAGTTTATTTATATAGCGCCAAATTCACAACACATGTCATCTCAAGGCACTTTACAGTTCAACCAGATCATACAGTCAAATTGATACAAAGTTTTCTGTCTAAGGAAAACCAGTTGATTGCATTGACTCATTGACTCAAATACAATCCCTCACACTAAGCATGCTTGTAGCGACAGTGGAGAGGAAAAACTCCCTTTTAACAGGAAGAAACCTCCAGCAGAACCAGGCTCAGTGTGAGCGGCCATCTGCCGAGGCCGACTGGGGTTCAAGGAGACGGAAGCAGAGACACAAAAAGCAACTGTAAAAGGCGGCCCCATCCAGGAAACACACAGCCAGGCAGACGAGCTCCGAGCCAGCTCCCATTCCAGAGGACGAAGAGAGCACATCCACTCAGTCACGGTCAGAGAAACAGGACCACACTGGAAAACAGGCCGATCTCCAACATCTATAAACAAGGGTGTTGATGGAAGCAGCACAGCTGATGTTTCTTTCCAGGATGACGTCACAGCCAAACAGGAACAGACGAGGCAAAGCTACTCTGAGGAAAAGCAGAGAGAGCAGAAGGTTAGAGATTGAACTAACAGATTCTGCAGAATAGGAGAACAGAGAGAGAATGAAGCAGAATGATGAAATGGGGGTCCCTATATCCTCCAAAAGTCTAAGCCTATAGCAGCATAACTATAGAGATAGCTCAGGATAACCTGAGCCACCCTAACTATAAGCTTTATCAAAAAGGAAAGTTTTAAGCCTAGCCTTAAAAGTAGACAGGGTGTCTGCCTCACGGACTAAAACTGGTAGTTGGTTCCACAGGAGAGGAGCCTGATAACTAAAAGATCTGCCTCCCATTCTACTTTTAGAAATTCTAGGAACCACTAGTAAACCTGCAGATTGAGAGCGAAGTGCTCTGTTAGGAACATAAGGAACAATCAGATCTCTGATATAAGATGGAGCTTGGCCATTTAAGGCTTTATATGTGAGAAGGAGGATTTTAAATTCTATTCTTGATTTAACAGGAAGCCAATGAAGAGAAGCCAGGATAGGCGAGATATGATCTCTCTTTTTAATTTTCATTAGAACTCTGGCTGCAGCATTTTGGATCAGCTGAAGGCTTTTAACTACAGTTTGTGGACTTCCTGATAGTAAAGAATTACAATAGTCCAGCCTTGAAGTAACAAATGCATGGACTAGTTTCTCAGCATCACCCCTGGACAGGATATTTCTAATTTTTGCAATGTTCCTCAGATGAAAGAAGGATATTCTAGAAACCTCTTTGATATGGGATTTAAATGACAGGTCCTGATCAAAAATAACACCAAGATTTTTTACTTTATTATCTGAAATCAGTTTAATCCCATCCAAATGAAGTGACTGGCTAATCAGCTTCTTTTTCAGAGACTCTGGTCCAAAGACTATAACTTCTGTTTTGTCTGCATTCAGAAGCAGAAAGTTAAGAGTCATCCAGGTTTTTATGTCTTCAAGACATGCCTGTAATCTATGTAATGGGTTAGCTTCATCTGGATTTATAGACAGATATAGCTGGGTATCATCAGCATAACAGTGGAAATTAATCCCATGCTGTCTAATAACTCTACCAATTGGGAGCATGTATAAAGTAAAGAGAATTGGTCCTAGCACTGATCCCTGTGGTACTCCACAGGTAACCTGTGAGCATGTGGAAGATTTGTCATTAACATGAACAAACTGAATTCGATCAGATAGATAAGATTTAAACCAGTCTAGTGCTGTTCCTTTAATTCCAACAAAATATTCAAGTCTTTCTAAAAGAATATTATGGTCAACTGTATCAAATGCAGCACTAAGATCTAACAGGACGAGCACAGATACAAGTCCATTATCTGAGGCCATGAGAATATCATTAGTGACTTTCACCAGAGCTGTTTCAGTGCTATGATGAGCTCTAAAGCCAGACTGAAACTCTTCAAAAAGTTCATTATGGTGTAAGTGATCGCAAACTTGTTTGGCAACTACTTTCTCAAGAATTTTGGATAAGAAAGGAAGATTGGATATAGGTCTATAATTAACCAAGTCATCTGGGTCAAGAGACGGTTTCTTAAGCAGAGGTTTAATTACAGCAACCTTAAAAGCTTTAGGTACATATCCCTGTAACAGAGATAGATTAATCACATCTAAAATGGAGGAGGAGATCAAAGGGAATACCTCCTTAAATAACCTGGTTGGAACTGGATCTAACATACAAGTTGAAGGCTTAGATGAAGACAATAATTTTGCTAATTCAGAAAGTTCAACTGGATCAAAGCAGTCTAAACCCGGTTCAGATTCCATGACTACCTCAGGTACAATCGCGGATAGAGGAGTGCTTATGATCTTATTTTTAATAAGATCAATCTTATTTATAAAGAATCCCATAAAATCATTGCTGCTAAGAGCAGGTGGAATGGACGGTTCAACAGAGCTATGGCTCTGGGTGAGTTTGGCAACTGTATTAAAAAGAAATCTAGGATTATTCTTATTCTCCTCTATTAATGAGGAGAAGTATGCTGCTCTTGCTTTACAAAGGGTCCTCTTATACAGCAGTAAACCATTTTTCCAGACTTGGAAGGACTCCCGCAGGCCTGTGGAGCGATATTTTCTCTCCAGTTTCCTAGCATTTTGCTTCAAAGTACGCAGCTCTGCATTAAACCAAGGAGCAAGCTTTCTATTTTTAACGGTTTTCATTTTCAAAGGAGCTGCGTTGTCTAAGGCAGTACGCAGAGAACTAGCAACCCCATCAACAAAATCATCAACCTGTGAAGGGGAATAAGCTATGCTTTTGCACTCTGCAGCACTGCTCAGTGACACAGAGGAGAGAGAAAGTGAAGCAGATTCTTTAAAATTTATAACTGCACTATCTGATAAAGATCTACTAAAATTGAACCTTCTTTTGGGGGAGGAGAACTCTGTTAAAGTAATCCTGAAGGTTATTAGAAAGTGGTCAGAGAGGACAGGGTTGTGAGGAAATACTGTTATTTCTTCACATTCTATGCCGTATGTCAGCACAAGATCCAAAGTATGAAGATGAGAATGTGTGGGACTATTCACATTTTGAACAAAGCCAATAGTGTCTAAGATAGCATTAAAGGCTGCTCTTAAGCTATCGCCTTCAATGTCAGCATGGATGTTAAAATCTCCCACTATGATGACCCTGTCAGTATTTAATACCAAATCAGAAAGGAACTCTGAA